AAAGCATTCGCCATGTGTTTTTGAAAAAAAAGTGTTTATAAAAAAAAGTTGTACAAAAAATATCTTTGGCGTTGAATATTTCAAGCCCTTCTAAGCATACTTCAGGGTTGAAAACATTCCAGAATGGGTAGTTTTATTGATGAATAATATTAACAAGTTCTGTGCATTCATTCAAATACAGAGATGATGACAAAGAAAAACCATTTTTTTTAATTTTGAGAAGGGTGTTACTATTCCGTGAAGGGATTTTTCAAAAAAATGGATACCAAACGCCCACCTCAATTTCCATCACGAAATCACCACTTGAAATTTTTTCTCTGTTATTTAGATACACCCTACCCTCTGTAGATGCACCAAATTTTTTTCAGTACTTACCTATATCAACCCATGTGTCAAATAGGAAATACTCGTGTTGTTGAAGATACAGACGTGACAAAGAAAAAAACAATAGATTGAAATCAGCTGATTAACTCAGATGTTGACAAATTTAGTATCTAGTTCTTTCAACTTTTGTAGCACGCCCAGAGCAAAGGTGAGTGAATTCAATCAATCTTTATGTTCTCTAGTATTTGCTATGTTATAATCATTGCAGATCCTGTTGAATTCATCACTGCTACCGTTCAAGAGAAGAAGAAAAGCTTCAAGTATTTTACAATCCTACATCCTGTATGTTGATTTCTATCTTTCACATAATAAATTACATTTCATATAGATATTTCATCCTAGTAATGATTGAAAAGCATATTCTATGCATATACAAAAAACATATTCCTAGTATATGCCACCAATCTCTTTTGGAAGATTCAGAGATATTGCTGGCATATGTTTCATGGTGACTTTGGATATCCCTGGAATATGCATATCATATGTTTTGGAGGACATGGAATATCCATGGCATATGGCAATATCCCAACGCAATATGCATAGGATATTCATGGAATATGATTGTGCCGTCTGGGTATATGAACTCACCTAAATAAAACATCCAGAAACATGCACACTGAAATAAACCCAGCTTAGAAAGTCTATAGTATTTTTTCTGTTTATCCTGTTGGTATAACCTAAAAGGAATGAGTCCAAAACAATTCGATATAAAATGAAGCAGTTTTAGAACGTCGTGAACGTCCATACTCACATGAGTACAATTCAATTTGATAGTGTTTTCTGTTACTCATCATTTATTTCAATACAAAAGTGAATTGTTAGGTAGGTACCTCCTCCATGTAAACAACATTCAATTTAATAGTTCACTCATACCTACACGAGTTGTCAATGTGTTTGTATTACCAGAACAGGAGAATAATGAACTGTTTATTGTTTGATGGGTCTTAGGAATACATCAGCAAGTGAAAATATATAATACTATAGTAGCGAGGATATTTCCACATGCAAAATATTTCCTAGTAGATGATTGTCCTTATTGTCATCTATTCAACACATGCCGATCATGTCTGTGACCACATCATGAAAAAAATTTAACTTGCAGATAAAATTACACTATAGATATCAGAAGATATTAAATCACAGCCTGTGGAACCAACAAAAAAGTTGAATTCAATGCCACTAAAACTAAAGCCTGCATTTTATCTGTTTGCCTGACATAACAATGTAAAAACTTCACAAACGATAAGATTTCCACAAAATTTTTGGAATTTTGTGGAAATCTTATATCGTTTGTGAAGTTTTTACATTTTCCATGGATTTCCATCAAGTAACGGCCGAGTCAATTCAAAAAATGACATAACAATGTTTGGTATCACCATGCCCATAATGTCCAGCATATCTATGCTCGGTATCTCCATCAGAAATACTCTCCATGGGAAAACATAGCTCCATCGTGAAAGCCTCTCCACATAAACAAAAATTTCAATATCGAACGAGCGGAGAGCTATTACAGCTCTACAGCTTCTCTCGATCTACAAGCCACAGATATGTGGCCCGTTTTATGAAACTGTTCTCACATAAATAGAGTTCAGCGCCCAAACATAGAAAACATACGAAAGTTGGCGACCTCTCAGTTTTTTTCTCCTGGCTATCATTCCATTACTCGGAATACCAGTCAGACGAACTTACCAAGTCCACTCAGCACATCCTTTCGTCGTCAACCTCAACCTCAACAAATTTAACTTTTTCGATATAACAATAAGACATGAATTTTTTGGATCTGTTTTTTTTTATAATATGCCATCTTGAATGAATAAGAAGTCGCTGCCTAATTTCAGAAACTTAGGATGAATCATATCTGAAATGTCGGCCAATAAAATTATTCGTTATCGATGGCCAACAGAATCTTTCATATATGAACATCAACTTGTTTTGTTTTCCCCTATTCACCATTTGGATATGTGAGTCTCTTCATGAATCGTCCTGTATATAAATTTATACTATAGTTTCATATAGCATCTTCCTGCTCATATCGGTCAATGCAGCAACCTGATGACTATATCATTCAATAACAATATATTCCTTGTATCCTTGTGGAAATTTCTATTTCACTCCGAAGTCGAGAAATATGGTGAATTGATCAAGAGAATTCTGATGTACAGTGTGTCCAGTTTTCGATGCTTTTGTGTGGTATCTCAGTTATCTTTCGAGATAGAACCTTGCGGGTTTCGCGGTCGTGTGCCACCTTTTTGTGAAACTCAAGATGGCCTAATCAGATTTTACATAACTGTTTCCATTTATGAGATACAGGGCGATTTTGAAAATTTATACTTTTTGGACCCTCTCTATATCTACGAAGTATCTCAGCAAAAATGACAAATTTGAATCTCATCCCATATGAAAGTTTACGCAGAATCCATTGGCGCACTCAAATTTTTTTTTCGGGGTATGGTTTTGGAGATACGACTCAAACTTATGATTTTTATAAATAGAACACCCTGTATTTTATAAGCTCATGAAATTTCTCATTTTTTCTCTTCAAAATGATTCATAATGTATGTATATGAAATTTTCGAAAATGCTCTGAAATCACTGAAACATTGAATTTTAATAGTTGGCTATGGATTTTTCTTATAAAAAAGTTTCAATTGAAGGAATATTCATTTTGATTTTTCCATAAAGAGGACAAAAACAATACCAACACTAATTAACTAAGAAAACACAAAAATTACGTACCTGATAGCAACAAATAAATAGTAATAAAGAGTTCATAATGTAGAATAAGCACACCAGATTAAATATTTACAAATACTATTGAATTTCGTAATTATTCAATAACTTATTCACTGAATTGTTCAAATTGATGTCCATTTCCCATAACACACAATTGACACAGTTTCTCAATACATCTTGATACAGTGAGAGTCACAAATATCTTGAAGACCTTCGTGCAACAACAGAGGCAGTTTGCCAGGAATTACAAAGACATCCTTTAATGATTTTGAATGCATTAAGACAATTTGAACAATTCAATGAATAAGTTACTGATTAATTCCGAAATTCAATTGTCTTAGTGAATATTAAATCAGGTGCTCATTCTAGAATATGAACTTTTTATAACCATTCATTTGTTGCTATCAGGTACCTAATTTTTATGTTATCTTAATTAACTAGTGTTGCGATTGTTTTTGTCCTTTTCATTGAAGAATCAAATGAAATATTCCTTCAATTGGAAATTTTTAAATGAAAAATCCATAGCCCCCTATTAAAATTCAATGTTTTAGTGATTTTGGAGCATTTTTGAAAATTTAATACCTATTCATAATATTTAATTTTGATGGGGAAAAAATAAGGAATTCAATGAGCTTATAAAATAAAAGGTGTTCCATAATTTGAAAAATCATAAGTTTGAGTCGTATCTCCGAAACCATACCCAGAAAAAAAAATTGAGTGCGCTACTGAATTCTGCGCAAAATTCTGTATGGGATAAGATTCCAATTTGACATTTTCGCTGAGAAACTTCGTAGATATAGAGGGAGTCCAAAAAGTATAAATATTCAAAATCGCCCTGTATCTCATAAACGCAAACAGTTATGCAAAATCTGATAAGGCCATCTTGAGTTTCACAGAAGAGTGGTACAGGACCGCAGAAACCGCAAAGTTCTATCTCGAAAGATAACTGAGATATCACGCAAAAGCATCGAAAACTGGACACACTGTACATATTATATTTCTAGTGAAAAAATGTTTAAGCAGTTTTGGATTCCTATTATAAAATGACTCTTCCATCATACAGGAGAGCAGCTTTGAAAATTCACGGCAAAACTTATCTCACAGAATCTAAAAACCCTTCACTTTTCTATATTTATAACCCGCTCTCGAATAATGTTGGACATCCCCTCGTGTGACTTCTTCGCGGTGATAAGAGGCCTATCGAACGAGTGAGGCAGAGATATTTAATGAGAAAGTCCGTTCTGGAATTTCAAATATTTAATAGAGAATAAGAAACTGAAGTATTGTTACGTCTTCAATGGATAAAAATGATATTTTATATTTCTGAAGACAGTGATTGAAAATTTATTCCATTTATTAAACAATTGACAATGACATCATGTACATACCACTAAAATGATGATCACTGAATCTACGGAGTTGATACAGGATGTATGAATGTTCTGTCAATAAGTATCATCGATATCCTCCACTTAAGGTCCAAATCATGCATTTTACAACCAAATTCATAACTTTATAGTTACTCAAGGCTAATATTCTGTCGGAAATTAGTTAATTTCGCCTTCTTCCAGTGATTTTTTCTTTCTGCTTGGTATAATTGTTTCAAAATGTTGGTTGGGCTAACATACGAATAACACCAACTTTAGCAACTATCGATTATTATTATTAAATGAGACCAATACCCAATGTGTATTATTCTATATCAAATTTAATACTATAATGATATGAATATGTCTTTCATATTTTTCATGGATTACAAAATAAGCAGATCATCATGGCACACAAAAATTAAGGAGACAATATGTAGGGTGGAATTCAATCACTCCTATCCGAAGATAATAGTGATAGTGTAAACGTTATATTCAGAAATGCATAGGTAATGAAAAGATAAGAAGCTTATATATTTATTCATCATGACAAAAAATTAACATATCATTATTTCATCGGTTTATATTATCAATGAGCTTCTTTATTGATAGGCATATTTTTAATCAACAATAAACTCATGAAGCATATTAGATCAAACGTAAGTTCAAGCAGCCCTGACAAATCCTATAGTCTTATCTTCAATGTTGTAGATACTGTAGTATTGGGACAAAAATGCACCTCCAAGAACCCACAGACCTTCAGTGGACGAAGCAGTTGTGGGAACAAATGCCGAAAAGCATACGGTAATACCCATATACGACATCTGAAATAAACAATAATTACTTACTGTCTCATTCAAATCATATGATCAAAGAACATGGAACTACAACAATGGATGACCGCCTCTGTAACGACTTAAAATGAATACAGTTGAATAAAGACGTACTAATTGTCAAAATCCTCAGCGACAGAAGCCTTCTAGCTAGATAGGTGGACTCTGGTGAGGAAAGATGAATTATTTTCTTCTATAAGAAGGCAGTATCCTTTGATAACGCTTTTGTTTGGTTTAATATTATCCTCCCTTTATTGTCTATAACTGACATTCACATGTATATCATTTGTGGGGCCAGGTAGCCGTGCGGACAGAGTGTCTATATTCTAATCCGCATTCGCTTGCCGGTCGTGGGTTCGATTCCCATCGACTGCAGAAATTTTTCTGATGGCCCAAGAAAGTGTTTGGGATCACACGTTAAAAGGTAAGGCCCCCGTCATTCCTTGCTCGCACAAGACTCTCGAAGACTTCTGAGGGTTGCTCGTAAGGGGGCAACCGAATGACGGATAGAACAACAATTTTAGAACAATATTCCCCGGCATCCTCAAACTTCCATGTATTGGGTGATCCATGCAGCTCCGCACCTTTTCACTCTTCCATCTGCCTACCCCCTCTTAGAATTTTCCTTCCTGGAATGAACCGGAGGAATCCTCTATATTTCTTGAATAGCAATGGCCACTTGAAGTTTTGATTAAATAATTCCTGTGATTGCCTACTTCAACTACTACACCGACATTATCCCACAACTTAGTTTTCGGGTCCTGAATTCTAACTCTAGATCCAATCGGGATTGCTATTAAATCTTTGGCATTATCATGTTCAATGACTTTGAAATGTTCCTCTGAAGATTTCTTTTCACATGCATCTACAGCAATTTGCCATTCTTTGGAAAATGCCTTATGATGTGCTGGAACCAAAGAGGGGGAGGTGGAGGATCACACATATATAGTTCTTTTGGCAGAGAAGGACGGATTGTTTGGCAATGTTCGCCATTTTCTACGATATTCTGAATATCGCTTGTCATAGCAGGCCAATATACTACTTGACGAGCTCGTCGCTTCGTTCTTTCAATGCCCTGGTGTGAATCATGTAATCTGTCCAACACCATTTCCCTAGCTGACATAGGGATGACAATCTGACATCCTTTGAGTACTAATTCATTTCCACAGCTCAATTCATCTCCGACATTCCAATATGGCTTCAAAGCAACATCAAGATCCTGTTCTGAATTAGAAAACCCCTTCTCTATCATTTTAACTAACTTTTGATACGTTTCATCATTGTTCGATCTCTCTTTGAGAATTTTAAATAACTGATCTTCAAGGTGAGAAGTTCTCAACATTTCTTCTGTATTGTCCACTAGAGAAATTTGATGTACGATAAATGAATTCGAATGAACTGTAGAATCTTCTGCTAATAAATCGCCGTCTTGAGCTTTTTCAACCGGTGAACGTGAGAGTGCATCAGGAATCATATGTTCCTTCCCGCTTCTCCATTCAACTATAAAGTTAAATCCAGAAAGTTTCTCTTTGAGTCGCTGAATTCTTGGGTTTTCTAACTCGTCCAATGTATATGAATTCAGAATTGGCAGCAATGGTTTATGATCGGTAATGATTTTGAAAGAACCTAGGCCTAATAAGTAGAGTCTGCACTTGCATACTGACCAAACAATTCCTAGTAGCTCAATTTCTATCATAGTGTATCGTGTTTCTGTATCTGAGAGAAATCAAGATCCACACTGAACCAACTTCCAAATGTGACCATGTTTCTGTAGGAGAGCGTATCCAGTACCATGTAGACGAGATGCATCTGCATGTAAGCATGTTGGCAATGATGAATCAAAATGAGCTAATATGGGGGGTGTGACTAATTTTTCTCGAATATCATCAAATGCTGCATCATGAGTTGACGACCACAAATATTTGTTCTTGCTCTTCAGCAGGTCTCTCGAGGGTGCAGCTACTGTACTAATTTCAGATGAAAAACTTCCTAATTGGTTCACTAATCCCATATATGATCGAAGTTCTGTCAGATTACCAGGCTTTGGATAATTCTGGATAGCTTCAATCTTCTTTGGATCAGCTTTAATCCCATGTCGCCCTACTTTGTATCCTACATAATCTACCTCTGATTTAGCAAACACGAATTTATTTGGATTCAGTGTGATTTGCTTTTCTGTACACCAATTCAATAACTTGGTTATAGTGATTGGGGAATGTGTCATTGTGTAACAAAACATCATCTATCACTTTCTTCATATTGGCAATTCCAGCCAAGGCTTCATCTCCTCTTCTATAGAATTCGTCACCTGAACTAACAAGACCCATAGGTGCACGCAGAAATAAATACCGACCCCATGGAGTGAGGAATGTTGGCAGTTTTTGACTATCTTCATCCAACTTCAATTGCCAATAACCGCAAAGTTGAGAAATAGCGTGAATTCAGGTTGATACAGCTTTCCACGGAGACTTGAATGGATGTACTGGTCTTCTCACAAAGCAGTTCAATTTAGTGAAATCAACGCAAATTCTGATTTTTCCATTCGGCTTTTGAACAATAACAAGAGGGCTCACAAAATCGGCTGGTATATCGTCTACAGTTTTGATAATTCCTTTTTGCACCATAGAGTCTAGTTCCATCTTTACTTGCTCCCTCCAAGCGAATGGAATTCTTCTAGGACATGTGATTGCATAAGGAACAACATTATCCTTCATATGAATATGCACTGGCTTGCCATCCATAGGTTTCAATGCTTCTTCCATATTGAAAACATCCTTATATCTTTCCAGGAGAAGATTACGTATACCTACTCACACATTCCTCTTCTGACGGATTATCAGGAATATTATCTAGAGCTATTTTTTGCACAGGTAAAAACTCGGGAAGAGGTTTCGGGAATTTTTTATGAAAAATTCCCAGTTCTCTCAAAGAATTTCTATCCAGAAGTAGTTCTTCAACACCAGTACAAATATAAACTAAACAAGAACGTTCGTGATCATCTTTTCATACTCTACTGCACATTCTATATATCCTAAGACATGGAGTTTGGAATGGTCTGCAGATTTCAAGTGAACATGATTTTGTTGCATGAAATCTTCACCCGCTACGCATACTTCGACACCTGTGTCAGGGGTGGCTTTATGAAGAATAACTGTTCTAGGGTTTTTATGTGGTTTTACTTTCACATGAATCTGTCGCCCATTAGCTTTCTCCAAAATATTATTATACAGTATTACATCTCGGGCAATCTTTGTTATGATAATTTTCAGTTCTTGAGTTGACGTATTTTATACTAGATATTTCACTATTGAAGGTGTCTTCTTCTTTCATAGCAGCTTCTTCAGCTTCACACAACTTTACAATTTCCTCAACGCCAGCTGTGTCTGGTGGTTTCCTGCATTTTCTTCTGATTTCAGAGTCGAATGAGGACTCTATTATGTGATCCGCCAAGCACCGATCATAACAGTATGAACAAGGTTCAGCCAACTGTAGAAGCTTCACTTTTTCTCAGTAAAATGACATAAATGACTCTCCTTGCTCTTGTTTTCGGGACATAAAAAGACTACGTCTCAATCGGCCATCCCGAGGCAGATGGAAGAGTGAAAAGGGGAAATGTGTATGGATCACCCTATACATTAGAACGGAAAATGACTTTCGGCTATTTCTGAAAATTTTATATGTTTCAGATATTAACGTCCTTATTACACAGTTCAATTTACAGATCGATCCTATGACCAGTTTTCGAGCTACAGGGTGTCAATCATTTGATTTTGTCTGTTTAGAATATTTTGCATCCATTTGAATTATGTGCTGTAAGTCGTGATAAATCTTCAGTATAAATAAACGCTTTACGTCTAATTTTTATCTCATGAATCCCTCTATTCGAATAGATAATAATATCACATACAGGATATTGCATTCCATCATGATAAAGGTAATATCCATGGAAATAGACAAATATTCAGAATATCAGAATTCCGATTTTTACTCAATCACTGAAAACTTGAAAACAAACGGCTAGAATCGGCCAATTATTTGACACACTGTGGATCTTGGTCATCAACATGAGGATTCATATGATTTCCTCTAATACAATGTCTGGTTTGCCATATATAGGGTGATGACAATTTGAAAGCTCAGAATTGATGTAGCTCATGTACAAAATGAGATACATATCACGAATGGTTCCTAACTGCTTATATAATATATAAAGTGGAAAATAAAATGTCTCATGAAATTCCCCCTAGAAAAATATTTGGTATGTCTAATTCACATGCGTGTCAGAATGGAATGAAGAAGATGATATTATCGATACAGACCTGAATTTCAAAGTGGATTATTACTTAAAACTCGAGGAAAAAATATAAAAAAAATTGCTGATGTATTCGAAAATGTTGTGTGCCTACTGAATGAAGAAATATGATAAGATTTATTACCTTCGTTGTATATTGAGGACCTTCTAATCGGAAGTTCTGACCTCCTAATACGAAGTCAATTTTTGGCAGTTTCATAATAGTGTCACATTCAACCTGAAATTGAAATTACAATAAAAATAAGAGCTGAACAATTCCTTTTCGTGCGATCAAGCTATTATCGCTAGTTGTATTCACTGATCGGCTGATCAAAAACCCAGGGGCGTCGGATAACTTTTTTCCTCGAGGGAAGTAGGTGAAGGCTTTTTGATTTAGTTAATGGAAGAAAAAATCATGTAGAGAGCCGTAAATGACAAACAGTGCTTCCGTAAGGTACTGAATACATTTATTTCCAGCCAAACTATCCATTTCTGAGAAATATTCTGGAACAGATCGATTTTTAATTTCAATTTTTCACATTTACCAAAAAAAATTTCAATATTCACGTTTGAACAATCATATCCGCGACCACTTTTTCAAATGGAACACCCTATACAGGGTTTTTCACGATGAGCGTTAATAAGACGTTCCTGATAGAAAGTATAAGCAGCTTAGATATTTCAAATAGATCACCTTGTATTTCATTGCATCTTCAAATTCTCCCTGAAGAGCTGATTTTATCAATACATCACCCTTGGAGTCTAGCGGGAAGGATTACAGAGATATAGGGTGTTCAAAACTTTCCATTTACTATCTTCTGATATTTAATAGGAACTGATACAGGGTGGTTCAAGATTCAGAATCTGATCACCATACATTAATGGTGAATCAACCTGTACCTACATAAATAGGTATTACTTCTCAATACAATCAGAACACAACATTATTCTTTATTTTTTCAAAGGGAGAAATATTATCCTTCTGTTCTCTCTGAAGTTCTCTGAATTTGATTCTGATTTGGATTCTCATTATTCTGAAAACTGTAAGCGACTTCTAACTTGATCATGGAAGAGTTCAGGTGAAAAAATCATGATGACTATAGTCCTTGCCTAGCTTATACTTGCTCTCCTCGCGATCCTGAATTCTCAGTGATTTATTTAGCTCGATTTAGGACCATGTTTCTCTATTTTCTGGTAGATAACCACTATAATTGACTCACCGTCCATCTGCCAAAAATTTTCTTAGCATTCAACAGATCGTTTATCTTATTGATATCTTCTACTGGTCCTATTATTTGATTCGAACTAGTATCAGATATGGCCTTGCAACCATTAGGGCATAAAGTTAGAGTCTTCTTTTGATCCATTGTGATGAGGATGCTGTAATAAAATTGTATATTAGTAGGTTTTCATGCAATGTGGAAACCTCTATGATGGAATAAAATCTGTATCTTCATAACACCGGTGCGGCTATACAAACAGGGCATTATGGGCTGCAGCCCAGTGCAATTCTTATCTCATGCTTTAAAATTTACATAAATAAGCAAAACAGATAACCTGTTGATTCGTTTTGCAATATATTGACACCCCAAGCAAGGGGTGACTTCAACCGAGTCACAAACCTCATCGAAACGAAAATAAAGGAGTTCTGGAATGTCACCTGGAGGGCCAAGGTAGAGTCACCAGATCCTCGGACAACACTCTATGAAAGATGACTAAAAGATTTGAAAAGAAAATTCAGCCCTGTTCCTTCCCTAGAGTGTAGTGCCGAGGAAGTGGTGTCAGATCTTGAAAAGGCGGTAGTGCTTGAAAGGCACCTCCAAAATATAAATAAAATAGATAAGACTCCTGTAGGACCGGTCCAGGAGGACATGGCAGGCCTGCCTGCTCGAATCAGAGCCTTGCCTGCGGTATCTCTATCACGTCGTGTCCTCAGTAAAGCACTATGTAGCCCTCCAGAAATACTCAACATCATAAAATATTCCAATATAAACAAGGCACCAGGAATTGACGGGATAGATGTGCGAGAGTGCAACTGCACCATATTTGCAACGCAACAATAAGATACCAGCACTATCCAGAGTGTCTCAAGACGGGGCTTATTGTACCAATTCCAAAACTTGGAAAAGATTCCAAACGACCAGGAAACTGTCGCCCTAAATCACTGCTAAGTGTGGTGGCTAAGGTAGTGGATAGAGTTCTTTTCAAGTTGATGATTGACTCGTTCGACTCGGACATTGCCAGGGCCCAAATCCAGATACACCTGGATAGGGGGGGGGGATCATACTATACTTCGATAAGCCAAAGATCTGCGTCAACAATTCCAAAACAGAAGTAATGAATTTTACAAAGAAATTTAGTAGCAATGTTTCGCTCCGACCTTTGACTGTCAAGGGTTCGGTGGCGTCGGAGGCATCCATTGTGATCCTTTATTGACCAGAAGCTCTGCACTAACATTGAACAACAAGCTCCTGATCTACAAACAAATAATCAGACCTGTGATTTCATACGCCAGTCCAGTGTTTTGAAGCGCCTTGCCTACCCAACTGGGTAGGTTACAGGTGCTGCAAAATAAAGCGCTTCGTATAATTACCAATGGTGATAGATACTCTCGGGTGGCAGATCTCCACGAGCAGTGTCGCGACTTGCCAAGAATAAAAGATTACATAAACAAAATTGCAAGCATTTTTATAGATTCCATGTTCAGGGTAGTCACCTGACTAGAAGCATAACTGCTACTAGGGCTGAGCATGGAATCTTTAAAAAGCATGGACTGATATATGAGTCGACCGATACTATTAGAGATTCCCCAGACAGTCCGTAGAATTTGCCTCGCGGCCGATTGTGGGCGGAAACTTTGTATTTGGTCAGTCGGTTGCGAGTCTAAAAATTGTTCTAAAATTTTTCTATCCGTCATTCGGTTGCCCCCTTACGAGCAACCCTCAGAAGTCTTCGAGAGTCTTGTGCGAGCAAGGAATGAGGGGGCCTTACCTTTTAACGTGTGATCCCAAACACTTTCTTGGGCCATCAGAAAAATGTCTGCAGTCGATGGGAATCGAACCCACGACCAGCAAGCGAATGCGGATTAGAATATTGACACTCGGTACGCACGGCTACCTCTGCCGCGACAGTTTTCGAAAAGGGTTTCTTTGTTTTCATTTTCCCTATATCATGCCAATTACCATCACGACGATACTTGTGTTCAACCCTACCTATCTGGGTCATCTCGGTAAATATTTGTTCTGAGGAGCTTCGCTCCAGGAAGCAAAACTCATTTGCCAGGACTCTGAGCATTGACCAAACTCGCCTTTGGCTTACACCAGCTGACTCAACACTGCGTGGAGATAATTGTCCAATGTTATCGAGAAAGAAAGTACTAAATGAATGAATTAGATGTGCTTGAGAAGCCTAAGATCGCGGGTTCGAATCGGACGCCCACAATTTTGTTCCCAATTTTAAGATATGTCCATTACCTGGATCGAAATTGACATCTATTGGATGTCAAATTTTGTGGCAAATGGATATTCGATGGGTATCCATTGAATGTCCCTCTGGACATTATCGGTCGTCCAATGGATATTCGTAATGTCCATTGTGGACATCCATTGTATGTACGTATCTTTTATGGGCTTAGACGCGTCGAAGTGTGAGCTGTCAATATCTTTTTTCATTTTCAGAAAATGAATTTGTTTATTCATATGCCCCAACTTCGTGTTGTGCCATTACGTTTCTTGAAGACGCTGGAATGAGCATATTAACCTACATAGGCGTCGCTTAAATAGGGGCAGGGGGAGGGGGTACTAGCTAAGGTTGACTGGGTTAACTTTGGGACAGTACGTGGCCACGAATGCATGCGAGGCGGCCCTACGTTGAATCAACTGCTACAATTGTCTCAAAGTTAAGGTGGTCGCACTTTACTTCTGGAGATGCATAACTAGCTATATATTTGCACCTCATGTGTTGAGAACACTGTCCATGTTATGGGACAGATTGAAGACATATAAACTTCAACAAAAAATGGTGCCGCGACGCGGTAGCAATATCTTTCAAAATTGAAATCCAGTCAATATACTATAACCCATTGTCAAGGAATAACTGTTCGCATGACCTGCTCTTACCAATAACATTCTAAGCAAAATTTATGTTTCATTAAGAATGATAGGATTCAAATTTTGAATAAAACAATAAAGGTTTGATATAACAACTCAATTCCTGCTTTATTTTGGATCTTGGACCAAGCAGTTATGTATGAAATGAGATATTGTTCAAATGTCCACCACCGGTCGTAGACACTAACGCACGTGCCATACAGCTGAGGGATAGGTTTGACGATCGAATCATTTGACATCTCACGACGAGGATTTGTGAATTGGCCGCCAAGGTTATGTGATTTGATTTGATGATTGATGATTTCTTGGGACTATGTGAAAGCACAAGTCTATGCGAACAATTTCAAATGAATATCATCAAGTAACTGTATATTTTTCTAGTGGAAAATTATGAATTGCCCTACCTGTCGAGAGAAAATTGCCAATCTGCGCCTGCGTCCACTTGGAGAAATTTAATCGTATCAGGAATAACGCTGCCATTGGGATAACTGGTTTGGTGAACATGTTTGGGGTCATAAAAGCCCAACATAATATTTCCTCCTTTGTTTGACTGTCGATCTCTGAAATCGTAAAATATATGGCATTAGGAATTTAAATATCTTTTTTACCTACTATACCAAGTATATCTTGAAAATATTCATTTTTTATAAACTAATGGAGTCTACTGTATTTATCTTCATTAGTATGAAAAACATTTTATCGAATCTATGGCAATTCTGCAGTCTCTTTCATATTTCCTTTTATAAGCCTCATGAAAATGAGTTACTGTATTTATACCGACATTATATTTCTTTTTCGGAACATAGCGATTTTCATCACGTTTAAAAAAATTCTTCTTCATCCCGGGACAATCTGGACATATTTTTTATCGCACCTTGTATATCCATCGTCAAGAATAAAAATAAATTCCATACTTCTGGTACTACAATCGTAATTTTTTGAATTTTATAATTTATCTCAATGAAAATGCATCATATTGATTAAAAATGCGTAGCTTCATTATAAGACCTTCGATCCGAAAAATTACAAAACCATATGAATTGATGTGAAATCTCAACCTACTAGTGTGACGTCAGCATCGAGATAGAGGGGCTAGACTACGGCCCGGTGAGATAGAGTAGGCCCTGGCCCAGCACGGGCATGGGTAGAGCGGTAGTTCACACTATAAAAACAGCAAATCTAGCGCATAAACGGTTGACTTGGCAACACTGGTCACCAGAGTGAAACAACCGCTATTCTCCGCTTTCTTTATACATCCATCTGAACGGTCTCCCGAAAACAATATCTATATTTTTTTCAGTGGTCAACGATGAGTGAAATCTTGAAATCAATGAATAATATATGACCCATTAATCTCTCTCTATCAATCCTTGGATTCCACAATCGCATATATGGAGCAGTTAATTGTTTATTCAACTCCATAGGTACTAGGTATAGGTACTTATAGTCTTTCCAAAGTCAAATGAAGTAGATCCAGCAAATAAACTCTACGTGGCGAATTATTATTATCACTATGTGTTCAAGCTAACGAGTCTTTATTGACCTCGGAACCCTATAAAACATCAAAATAATATTATTGAATATCATTATACCGGGTGACCCGGAACCAATTTACTCCCTTGTATCTTCTTTGCTATTCTGAATGGATGTTCTTAATTTGATACATCGATTTGATAGCATGAGTGTATGATTTCGCTAGTATCAGACGAAATATGAATTTCGAATACTTTTGTTTTTTAGAAATTACGATTCAGTGGGAAATAACCTTTCCAACGATATATCACAATCATATTTTGAATCCACAATCTAGTCATATAATTGAGATTTCACAAAAAAATACTTTCATTTATTCCCCTCCTAACGGAATATTTTCATGAAAGTGTGCTATGAATAATGAAACAATAGCATGTGAGTAATAATAATTTGTTGTCAAAGTTTTTACATAATATTTTTTATGCCCACTTCAAATACAATCAACTAATTTTATCAAAATGCTATCATAGAATTGTTTTAAGTTGATTAGAAACTACACATTGAAATACAAGACATGTAAAAATTTCAATTTTCTATTTCCTATTTATTTTAGTTTTAAAGAAGATAATCTCCATGCTATACCTACTTGCATTGTATTGCACCTTTCAACTTCAGATAAGTTGGCTATGATATTGGATTTTTCTATACGTTTAAAAACATTATCGAAACTGCAAAATCTGACTAAACAAATTATTCAATTTGATGATTTTCCTACAAGTTACGAGGGAAATACAAAACGGTTTTTTTTTTATAAAATCTGACACCTTGTTTGTACACCTTGTTTTACATTGAATGTAAACCCAAAGGAATTGATAGTTTTTTCTATACCTATGAATATAGTTATAGTAATAGTAGAATAAACGAGACTATTTTTGTATCAAAGAAAATAAAAAAATCAAATTATCCACCTGTTCAGGTATATGGAAAATATAGGATCTCTTATTTTCTTCTGTCTATACAAGGCATAGAAAAATGGTTCGTAATCGCCATCTTTTAATCCTAGACCTAGAACTCCATCTGCTTTGGAGAACGCCATAGAACTTGGTACACCAACCATTTCAACGAACGAGAATGCAGTCACGTTCGAATGAGCCATCTGAAATAAATCAATCAATTATTTCTAATAAATCTGTGATAGAATTACAATAGTATATTGTGTAACAAGTGGGAAAAGGGCGAGTTATGCAAACACACGAGCGAGGAAAGTGCTTTTCCCCACATGTTGCACACAATATTTTTTCTACAACTGCACTTATTCAAAGAATTCGAGTAATGTAGCTTATTAGTATTTATTTTATGATGTGGCACTATGCCACATTGAATATTGTCACCAAAGAGTAGACGCCTTTCCTATAGTTCCTCAAAGTATTTCAAAAGAGTACACTTTCCGAAAAAGATTTTATTTCTGTATTTTTTTAGATTTCATAAGTTTTTCGTTAATGACAATTCATACTTTTTTCTTGGAATTTCCGGAAACAAATCCAACTTTCGCAGCTTCTTCCATTATCTCTGTCTCTGGCAGTGTATTTATCAAAATCGTCACATCTCGGTATATACATCATATTATTCATTATAAATTGTTGGAATAATATTTGATGGAAAATGCGATTTCTATCAAAAGCACTAATGAGAACTACCCTAAAGAATTTAAAAAACTTCTTCTGGCAGTTGTGACAACTATTCAATGCTGAACAGCAGCCAAGTTTTGGTCGATTTTTGTTTATTCTCCATGGAAATGTATGTGGTGTTGGCAAAGTGCCGTGAGAAAAAATATTTCTCACAGTATGAGCAATACATGGTTTTGAAACCAAGTTAGCTACTTTTCATAGCAGTAGTAGAAAAAATATTTATCTGTGGTGTCTCCGATTTTCAACAATACTATCAAGTAGACACCATACTCACTATACATATTTTACGTACTATATTGAATATTTCAAGATATTTCCGAATGATATGAGAGGTGTATCATCAGGCCTGTTCGTTTGTGTTTGCTCTACCTGCTATATATATTGACTCGATTTTTTGCAATGACTTTCTCTGTTTACATTATGCCATGAACAGAGACAACTATGGCAACAAAAATCAACTTTAGCGAGTTCAGCAACACCTACGAACAGAGGTACCTACATGATAGTCAAAAGAGTTAAGGGTAGATATTCATTCTTGCAGAAAAATAATGAACTAGTTTCTATATACCTTTCTATGTACTAAATACCCGTATTTTTGAGATACAGATTCATGATGTTTACTAAAAGCATCAACTTTTTACATAAGATCCAAATAGAATTTCTGTGAGAATTCTTTGAACCTATTTCTGTTCAAGTTTTCATTGTTTTCTTGGGTTTAGTTTTATTTCTACAGGTTGGTCAGTCATTGAACAGAAATATATGGAGCGATAGTCTGAGAGCCAGCGCCAAAAAGATTCTCTGAATTTACTAAGCCTAGTTTTTTCACAGTTTATTACAATGGTTTTGTACACAAACATACTGGGGTCAGTCAAGCGGAACTGAGAACAGGTGTCCCTGGTATACTATCGAAGTTGTCGTTCCTACCGAGGTAATGCAATGAATTTACTGAGGCTGAATATCATTATACACATTGTATATATTGCATATGAATGAAAGTTATGAAAGTCAGTCAAATGACTGTGGGGACGGGAGCTGGTCAGTCAGCCCCAATGTATGCAGCTCAACATTTTAATGAGAATATTTGTTGTTATATCAATCATGAAAAAAATGGTCAGTCATCGATTCTGCGGGACAACGCCCGTCAATCAGCAAAAAAAATACAAATTTCGCGCGCGCAATCGCAGTTGCAGGCGGCGGCTCGCTCTTTTCTTCATGATTATTCAACGAAATCGATTGATTAGGCCATTTATTGAATATAATTCAATAGATTATATTGAACTTTCAGTATATTATAATATACAGGGATTGACAAAGATATGGAACCATGTGAATATCTCGGTAACGGTTCGTTAAATTGTTGTGAATATATGTACAGGGTGATTTCAAATTATGGCAGATTCGAAAATTTCCCGGAATTATTATCTATCAACTTTCTTATTTTGAACAAAACACCCTGTATTTTTTTGAATTTTCAGATCCTCCCTGAAGAGCTGATTTCACCGATTGATTGATTGATTGATTGATAGCAGAATGATCAGTCAGGGTTTGAAGCCCAAAACACTGCAGCCTTTGGGCCTATTGTAGGTATTCCTGATCATGCTGTTGACTTAGGTGAACAGGTTCGCTACCTTGATGAGGTTTAGCAGCCTCTTCACCAGATCATTCTTTGAAAATGCCTCTTGAGAGTTTACTGCTCCCAGAAGGTTGTATCTCCAACGCGCTAGTGCTTCGCACTCCAGTATTACATGGGTGGCAGTTTCCTCCTCCTCATTGCATAGTCTGCATATGGGTTCGTCTGTATAGATGCCCATTTGATGCATATGTTTCCTCAAGGGGCAGTGACCGGTTATTAGTCCCGTCACTTGTTTGATCTGACTTCTGTTTAGGCTCAGAATGTCGTTAGTCACTGTTTTGGACAGTGTTCCAACCATCAGTTTACTGTGTCTTTGTCCTGGGACATTGTTCCAGTATGCCTGATGTCTTTCTTGCATCCACCTTGCCAGCCAGCCGCAATGATTTCACCGATACATCACACTCGGAGTCTAGCTGGAATGATTACAGAGATACAGGGTGTGGAAATTTGAGATTTTTCCACTTTAGGAATTTTTTGTGCCGAAACTATGAATTTTTGGTCAAAACAGCTTACATGTCCCTATTTTAACTCTTGATTCACTATCTACTGACAGTTAATTGAAACATATACAGGGTGGTTCACAACTAAAATAATATTAGATGATTTTTGTATCAGCCTCCTCGTGTGACGTGCAGTAGTCTAAGATCCGAACCTAAATCGACCTTCACCGAGCTGATAATAGAACGAAATATATTTTATCATGAATTTAGTATATTAGAAAACATATTAAAAATGGGTTGGCTAAAAAAATCCTGGGCAGACTATTTTTAATTATTTTTCGAAAAATTATTTTTAATTAAATGTTGCAACATCAGGATAATAAAAAAATTGTGTCCTGACTGAAAGTATAAAACGTATAGAATGTGCAGCCGTTGGGTTGTCTACTATTTACCTGGGCGAACTACTGGGTTGTCAGGTAAACACAGGTATATCGATGCCAGTTACTTTCACTGGATTGGATAATTTAAAAAAATGTATATCATCATAAGCGCTGTTTAATTGCGAACACGTTGATATAGGGTTGTCTGCGAAAATTCCGGTCCTATTAGGGGTTTGCGAATTTTAAAGACTTTAATTTCAACGCGCGTGGAAGTGTGTGACAGAGAGATCCGAGGTAAGTATACTGTGTAATAATAAAGGACCCAACATCGCAGTCGCTTGTGATGGGACCCTAAATAGTAGAAAGTGTGCGAAGTGTGCGAAGTCAAATCCTGAAAACTATGGTTGGCATTTTGATGATTTCTTAAAACCAACAGGTTTTATCGGAGATCAAACTCCTTTGAAAATCCAAGACATTGTCGAAATGGCAGCAAATGAGGAAGAATCTAATGAATCAGACGAATTCGAGAGTCAAAATGATACTTCTGATGAATCAGATATTGAATAGAAAATATTTATTAGAATTTATTTTTCATTAATATTATTTTTGTATTTATACTGTTTTTTAATAAAATTTTAAATCGTAATACAAGATGTCTAGTCTATCTTTTTTGTTATTTCTTAATTTAAATTTTTGGCGGTCCACTTTGTTTCTATTTCCAGAAAGAGCAAAGAAATTTCAAAGTAAGTATTTGATATTTTTATTGTCTATTATAGATTATAGATATATCATTATGGTTATAACGCAATATATTGATATTATATTGTTTTTATATATTATTATTATATTAAATATATTTTTCCGTCGACCTCGTATTAACGACTAAGTTTAATGTATATGAAATCGTTCATTAATGACCCCTATTAATGAACGATTTGTCTATTAATGTACGATTGTTTTATAGGCAACCAAACATACACCGCGTGCATTCATTGTTTATGCTATAACTTACGGAATCTGCATTTAAATCGAAAATATGGATTTCATTGAAGATTTTCTGTTAACGGGTTCACCTTTCCAAGTTTCTGACACGATTTTAATCCCTGTTTTCTAACACAAGTAATTTATTTTCTATGTTGATCATTTCGACAAATGTCAAATGACACTAATGTCAGTGACAAGGCTACTGGGTGATTCTTAGCAGTTTCCAGATGAATGATGAATTCGCGAACCATGTTTTCTTCATTGCAGGAGAAATGAGAAATATAGTCGACGGAAAAATTTTGTAACCAACTTGTATATTAAAAAGCGATTTATAAACTAGTTGGTTAAATAACTATAATTATTATGTAATTAATTAATTATTTTTTTTTTTGCTACTGAAATATCAGTTGCTCCAAAATAACACGCACTGTTTACTATATGAAGGGTAGTAGAGGTACCTCTACCCTCCATAGTTTACACACCGAGCATGCGCACTTTCTACTATTCAGGGTCCCATCACAAGCGACTGCGATGTTGGGTCCTTTATTATTACACAGTATACTTACCTCGGATCTCTCTGTCACACACTTCCACGCGCGTTGAAATTAAAATCTTTAAAATTCGCAAACCCCTAATAGGACCGGAATTTTCGCAGACAACCCTATATCAACGTGTTCGCAATTAAACAGCGCTTATGATGATATAAATTTTTTTAAATTATCCAATCCAGTGAAAGTAACTGGCATCGATATACCTGTGTTTACCTGACAACCCAGTAGTTCGCCCAGGTAAATAGTAGACAACCCAACGGCTGCACATTCTATACGTTTTATACTTTCAGTCAGGACACAATTTTTTTATTATCCTGATGTTGCAACATTTAATTAATAGTAGATTGTTTTATTAGGATCAAAAGTGACACTTTGTTTGACAAGCGAATTTTGCATTTGCGAGGCGGAGCGTTTAGCGAAGCCGAGCGAAAGCAAAATTTGCGAGTCGAACAAAGTCACTTTTGATCCGAATGAAACATG